CTGGACCAGCACTTAGAAGGCGATTTTAGGGCTTTTCCATAGGATTTTTTTGCTCTTTCTGAGAAGGGAAGGGGCTGAGCCACCTGCTCAGGGTGTCCCCAACCCAAGTGACATCCCCTGGTGGCAGCAAGACCCCTCAGCAGGGCAGTACTCAGCTCTGTGGGGTCAAACCCCATTCCCACCCCATTCCCTGGCAATCCCAGCCCCACACGTGGCTGGAGGGGATGGAGATGTTTGTCTTGGAGAGCAGCACGGAGCTGTGGCTTCGTCAGCCACAAAATTCAGCCGGGGCTTTGTTGCTTTTGGGTTAAAAGCAGATTTTCCTCTGTTCGGCTTCCAGCTTTTGGGATTTCTGCTTTTCCAGGAAAAAGCCACAGCTGCCAGCAGGGCCCGAAATGCCAGGGAAGGGAACATTCCCAACCTCTCAGCCCCCCCTGGAGCCACTTTTTTCCAGCTGGAAAGCACCAAAATCCCTGGATGAGCTGGTGCTGGGGGGCTGAGAGGCACCTGGAGAGGGACAAATCCTGTGGGAATTGTGGAGCTCATTAGGAACCATCTGGTCCTGCAGAGCTCGGGGTCAGGAGGACAAAAAAAACCCCAGGAGCAGCCTGGGGACACCCTGGGCTGGAGGGAGGTGGCCACTGCTCACTGGGGGGGGTGTGGGGCCACTTGTGGGGCTGGGGGAGGTCCCAGGGCTCTCCTGGATCTGGGATTTAGGATTTTCCTGCTTTCCTCAAAATGGGCCTGGTGATGGCCAGGGCTCCCAGTAAAACATTTGTTGTTACTGGGAAGGGGGAGGGGCCCCTTTTGACCCTAAATTGGGGCATCAACAGAGCCCTGTGTGGGGCAGAGGAGAGCCTGGGGGGGCTCTGGAGGCAAACCCATCCAACACCCCAAAAATAGGAGGTCCCATGAGCCAAACCTGTCCAAAACCCCAAAAAATGGGGGTTCCATGAGCCAAACCTGTCCAAAACCCCCAAAAATGTGGGTTCCATGAGCCAAACCTGTCCAAAATCCCAAAACCTGGAGGTTTAATGAGCCAAACCCATCCAAAACCCCAAAAACTGGGGATTCCATGAGCCAAACCCATCCAAAACCCCCAAAAATGGGAGGTTCCATGAGCCAAACCCATCCAAACCCCAAAACCAGGACGTCCCATGAGCCAAACCTTTCCAAAACCCCTAAAACCTGGAGGTCCCTGCTGGTGATTTTTAGAGCTGAGCAGTGCCCTGCGTGGGTGCTGGGGAATATCCATGAAATCCAGAAATTTCCTGGCTCTTCCAGGCCATTCCCAGTTCCCTCTCCTGAAGTAAGAGATGGGAGCTGCCCCCTCAGCACCCTCATCCCTTCCTTTCCCATCTCTCCTTTCCCATTCTGCCTTAAAAATCCCTGGATTTGCTGCCAGGGGCTGATTTTTTTTCCCTCAAATCATTGAAATTTTTATAAAATCCCGGTGCTGGGGCAGCCTGGTGGGGTTTGGGGTGGCTCAGCCACAGCTGATCCCACTGCCCTCCCCAAATTTGGGGCTGGTTTTGCCCTTTGGGGAAAAAATTGGGATTCCAGCTCAGCCCCTTCCCTGCCTGGTGTCCGTGGGCTCCTGGGGAAGTGGAAGCAGCAGCAGCTGCAGCCAAATTTTTATTTTTACCCCCTGGCCCTGCTGGGCCCCCGCTCGTTTCCCTTTTTCCAGGCACACAGGAAGGGCTGAGCCAGCCAGGCCTTCCTTATCCCAGAGATTCCAGAGGGTGGGAAAGGACCTTGGGATATTCCATCCATCATCCCAGGGTGCTCCAAACCCCGACAAACCCGGCCTTGGACACTCCCAGGGATGGGGCAGCCACGGATTCTCTGGGAATTTGCAGGCTGGGAATGAGTCTGGAGTGCTGAAATTGGGATTTTTTACGGAATCCTGGAATGGTTTGGGTTGGAAGATCCTAAGGATCAGCCCATTCCCAGCCCGTGGTCCCAGGGTGCTCCAAACCCCATCCAGCCTTGGGGGCTCCCAGGGATCCAGGGGCAGCCACGGATTCCCTGGGAATTCCAGGGAGGGATTTATTCCCAATATCCCACCCAAAGCAGCCCAGGGAATGCTGGAATGGGTTGGGTTGGGAGGGATCATCCAACCCCAGGGGCAGGGACACGTCCCACCGTCCCATGCTGCCATTTGATCCATTTGATCCGTTTGATCCACTGTCCAACCCAGCCTGGGACACTCCCAGGGATGGGGCAGCCACAGCTCCTCTGGGAATTCCATCCCAGCCCCTCCCCACCACCACAGCCAAGAAATCCTTCCCAGTATCCCATCTAAATCTCCCCTTTCCCATTGGGATCCCATTCCCTGTGTCCCTCTCCAGCTCTCTGGGAGCGCCCTCCATCCACCAACCTTCCCCTCCCACCTGCTCATCCCAGCCTTCCCCATTCCCAACATCCATGGGCACCACCCATCAATCCCTCACCTTTCCTTATTCCCAACATCCATGGGCACCCATCTCATGTTTCCCCATTCCCACCATCAATCCCTCCTCTTTCCCCATTCCCAACATCTGTGGCTACCATCTGTTAACCTCACACCTTTCCCCATTCCCAGCAGCCATGGCCACCATCCGTTAACCCCACAACTTTTCCCATTCCCAGCAGTAACTCCACACCCTTCCCCATTACCAGAATCAATCAGCCAAACCTGTCCAAACCCCAAAACCTGGAGGGTTCATGACTCAAACCCATCCAAAACCCCAAAACCTGGAGGTTTCATGACTCAAACCCATCCAAAACCCCAAAACCTGGAGGTTTAATGAGCCAAACCTTTCCAAAACCCCCAAAACCTGGAGGTCCCTGCTGGTGATTTTTAGAGCTGAGCAGTGCCCTGCGTGGGTGCTGGGGAATATCCATGAAATCCAGAAATTTCCTGGCTCTTCCAGGCCATTCCCAGTTCCCTCTCCTGAAGTAAGAGACGGGAGCTGCCCCCTCATCCCTTCCTTTCCCATCTCTCCTTTCCCATTCTGCCTTAAAAATCCCTGGATTTGCTGCCAGGGGCTGATTTTTTTTCCCTCAAATCATTGAAATTTTTATAAAATCCCGGTGCTGGGGCAGCCTGGTGGGGTTTGGGGTGGCTCAGCCACAGCTGATCCCACTGCCCTCCCCAAATTTGGGGCTGGTTTTGCCCTTTGGGGAAAAAATTGGGATTCCAGCTCAGCCCCTTCCCTGCCTGGTGTCCGTGGGCTCCTGGGGAAGTGGAAGCAGCAGCAGCTGCAGCCAAATTTTTATTTTTACCCCCTGGCCCTGCTGGGCCCCCGCTCGTTTCCCTTTTTCCAGGCACACAGGAAGGGCTGAGCCAGCCAGGCCTTCCTTATCCCAGAGATTCCAGAGGGTGGGAAAGGACCTTGGGATATTCCATCCATCATCCCAGGGTGCTCCAAACCCCGACAAACCCGGCCTTGGACACTCCCAGGGATGGGGCAGCCACGGATTCTCTGGGAATTTGCAGGCTGGGAATGAGTCTCGGGAATTCAGAGATGGGAGTTCAGAGATGGGAGTTCAGAGATGGGAATTCAGAGCTGGGAATTCAGAGACAGGAATTCAGAGACAGGAATTCAGAGACGGGAATTCAGAGCTGGGAATTCAGAGATGGGATGTCCCAAAGCTGGGAGTCCTCCTGGGTGGGTTCTCCTTGTGCTGTCATCGTGGGTCCGTGGAATGGGATGTGGGAAGAGGCATCTGAGGATGGGGATGTCCCATGAGACAGCCCTGCCCAGAGCCCCAGAAACTGAGCCAGACCTGGCCACAACCCCAAAACTGAAGGTCCTCTGAGCCAGTCCTGCCCAAAACCCCAAAACTGAAGGTCCTGTGAGCCAGACCTGAGAGCTGGGAATTCAGAGACGGGAATTCAGAGCTGGGAATTCAGAGACAGGAATTCAGAGACAGGAATTCAGAGACGGGAATTCAGAGCTGGGAATTCAGAGCCGGGAATTCAGAGATGGGAATTCAGAGACGGGAATTCAGAGATGGGATGTCCCAGAACTGGGTGTCCTCCTGGGTGGGTTCTCCTTGTGCTGTCATCGTGGGTCCGTGGAATGGGATGTGGGAAGAGGCATCTGAGGATGGGGATGTCCCATGAGACAGCCCTGCCCAGAGCCCCAGAAACTGAGCCAGACCTGCCCAAAACCCCAAAACTGAAGGTCCTCTGAGCCAGTCCTGCCCAAAACCCCAAAACTGAAGGTCCTGTGAGCCAGACCTGCCCAAATCCCCAAAACTGAAGGTTCTGTGAGCCAGACCTGCCCAAAACCCCAAAACTGAAGGTCCTGTGAGCCAGTCCTGCCAAAAACCCCAAAACTGAAGGTCCTGTGGGTCAGACCTGGCACAGCAGTGCCACCTGCCCTGCTGGGGACAGCAGTGGGCAGTGTCCCCTGCAGCACCCCCGTGGCCTGGGGACACTCCCTGCCCATCCTGCTGCTCCTCCCTGCGGGATATCCCTGGGAATGGCCATTTCTGGGGGGGCTCTGAGGGTCTCCCATCTGTGGGCAAGCCAAACCCCCACCATAATGGCCCACAGCCCCCACACCGCTGCAGGGCCACCTCTGTCCCCACCACGGTGGCCGTGGCGTGGCCCAGGCTGCTCCAGCGGGGGGTCTGGGGGTCCCCATGGGGGTGTGGGCCCTGGGGGTGACCCCCAGCTCACAGGCTCGTGCCCTGCCCCACAGGTGGCTCCCAGGCCCCACTCCTTGGCCAACAGCTACGAGCTCTTCGAGGTGTCCGAGGAGCGGGACGAGGAGGTGGCCGCCTTCTGTCACATGCTGGACGTGTGAGTACCCTAAAACATCCCCAAAACAACCCAGAGGGGCTTCGGGGCCACCAAAAGGGGATCCAGGGCCACCAAAAGGGGATCCAGGGTCACCATTCCCAGCATTAACCCCTCACCTTTCCCCATTCCCAGCATCAACCCCTCACCTTCCCCTCTCCCATCCCCACGGCCACCACCCGCTAACCCTGTCCCTTCCCGGTTCCAGGAGCAGCAGGATGCCGTTCTCCTGACCCCCATCCCGCAGGATGTCGTGCCGCCGCGGCCCCGGCGAGCCGTGGCCGGCGCTGGAGTCGGTGGGGCTGAGCCGCAAGGAGCTGGCGCTGGCCGAGGCGCTGCAGATGGAGTACGACGCCTTATCCCGGCTCCGCCAGGACAAGGAGGAGAGTCGGGCCAGGAAGGAGCAGCTCCAGGAGCGCTCCCTCATCTCCTGGGACGACCCCGTGGACAGGAACGCCATCAAAGCGGCGCGGGGGCTCTCCGGCTCCGACCCCGCGCTCGGCCGCGCCGTGCCCGCCGTCCCCGAGGGTCCCCAAGCGCCGCCCGGGCCCAGCCCGCCCCGGCCGGAGCCGCAGCCCTGGAAGGGCCCCCTGAGCGGGGATTACCTGCTCATCTTCGAGGGCTCCCAGCGGGATTTCCTCGGGGAGCCCCTCAACGGCTCCGAGCCCCACGACGGCGGCGGTTCCCCCAAAAAGCTCTCGCCGCCCCCGCTGCCCCCGCGGCACCCGCTGTGGGGCTGTCCCGAGGGCAGCCAGCGCTCGGGGAAGGCGTCCCCGCTGTCCCCCAAGGGCCAGGCCCAGCCCAGGGACATCAACATGTTCTCGGTGGCTCAGGACAAGCTTTTGGGGCGCCGCATCTCCCAGGAGGATCCCTACGGCGTGGACGCCATCACCTGCCTCAACCTCAAGTCCACCTACGAGTGCGAGGTGCTGAGGGAAGGTTCCCGGGGCTGGAAGGAAGGCAGGAGCATCCTGGAGAAGGAATCCAGCGGGAAGCCGGTGGCGCGGAGCAAGACCATGCCCCCCCAGGTGCCCCCGCGCACCTACGGAGCCCGCGCGGGCACCAGGAAGAACCTGGCGGCCAACAGGAACCGCAGGATCTCCGTGGAGCCGGTGGGGCTTCCCAGGGGGGAATTGGAGCTGGGCTGGGATGGAGCTGGGAATTCAGAGACGGGAATTCAGAGCTGGGAATTCAGAGCTGGGAATTTCAGGGTCACCAAAAGGGGATTCAGGACCACCAAGAGGGTTTCATGGCCACAAAAGGGGATTCAGGGTCGCCCAAAGGGGATTCAGGGCCACCCCAAGAGGATTCAGGGCCACCAAAAGGGGATCAGGGTCAGCCAGAAGGGTTCAGGGCCACCCCAAGAGGATTCAGGGCTACCCTGAGAGGCTTCAGGGCCACCAAAAGGGGATTCAGGGCCACCAAGAGGGGTTTCATGGTCACAAAAGGGGATTCAGGGCCACCAAGAGGGGCTGTTCCCAGGGGTGCTGAGCCCTTGTGGTGCCAAAAGGGGATTCACGTTCCACGCTGGTGATTTTTGGGGCGGGGGACCCCCCCAGCCCCAGCGGGAGCCCTGAGCCATCCCTGCTCCCGCAGGCTGCGCTCCAGCTCCGGCTGCAGGGACGGCTCTGGCTCGGGCTTGGTGTGGAGCGCGGTGAGCCGGAGCGCGGAGCAGCCGGGCCACGGCGCCAGCCTGAAGGTGACAGTGCTGTGTGACAGCCTGAGGGAGCCGCTGACCTTCACCTGCGACTGTGAGTGCCACGGCCGCGGGAGGAGCCGGAATGACCACGTCCACGCATTCCCACATTCCCGCTGTTCCCGCTGCTCCTGCAGTTCCGGCCATTCCCGCTGTTCCTGCCATTCCCGCCATTCTCGCTGTTCCCACTGTTCCTGATGTTCCCACTGTTCCTGATATTCCCATCATTCCGCCATCTCTGCCATTCCACCATTCCCCCCATCCCAGCATTCCCCCATTCCCTCATTCCCACCATTCCCACTGTTCCTGATATTCCCATCATTCCGCCATCTCTGCCATTCCACCATTCCCCCCCATCCCAGCATTCCCTCATTCCCTCATTCCTACCATTCCCACCATTCCCCCATCCCCACCAATCCCTCCATCCCCACCATTCCTACCATGCCCCCATTCCCCTAATCTCACCAATCCCACCATTCCCATCAATCCCACCATCCCCACCAATACCTCTATTCCCACCCCCCATTCCCACCGTTCCCCCATTCCCACCACCTCCACCATTCCCACCATCCCCACCATGCCCACCAATCCCTCCATCCCTGCAATCCCACCACCTCCACCATCCCCTCCATCCCCCACTCCCCCATTCCCGAGGATCAGGGGCCGTTCCCGTCCCGCAGGCTCCTCCACCGTGGACCTGCTGATCTACCAGGCGCTGTGCTACACCCACGACGAGCTCCACGCCGTGGACGTCGAGGATTTCCTGCTCAAGATCTGCGGCCTGGAGGAATTCCTGCAGAAGTGAGTGGCCGTGGGGAAAAATGGGGAAAAACCAGGGGGAAAAACAGGGAAAAACCAGAAAGAAATGGGAAAAAGCAAGGGGAAACCACACAAAAAAAAAAGAAAAAAAAAAAAAAAAAGGGGGGAAAAAAAAAAAAAAAAAAAAAAAAAAAAAAAAAAAAAAAAAAAGGGGGGAAAAACCAGAAAAAATTGAAAACCAGGGGAAAAAAGGGAAAACCAGGGAAAATGGAAAGAATAGGGAAAAAGCAGGGGAAAAAAACACAAGGAAAATGGAGAAGAATAGGAGAAAATGGGGGGAAAGTGGGGGGGAAAACCAGGAAAAAACAGGGGGGAAATGGAGGGGGGGGGGAAACAGGAGAAAAAGGGGAAAAACAGGGAAAAATGGAGAAAACAGGGAAAAAATAGGGAAAAATGGGGGGAAAACAGGGGAAAAGTGGGGGAAAAACAGGGGAAGATGGAAAAAAATGGTAAAAAACAGGAAAAAAAATCTGGGAAACCATGGGAAAACCAGGGAAAATATGGAATAGAATGGGAAACAGGAAAAAAAATCTGGGAAACCATGGGAAAACCAGGGAAAATATGCAATAAAATGGGAAAAACAGGAGAAAAAGAAGGAGGGAAACCAGGGAAAAACCAGGGAAAATCCATGGCAGGCACTCCAGGGTGTGATGAAGGCCCAGGGTTGATCCCAGCGAGCACAGCAGGAGCTTCTCAGCTCCTTTTCCTGCCTCTGGAGCTGCTCCTGCCAAAACAGCTCGTTGGGAATGTCTTGGGAATGTCATTCCTGGTCAGGCTGACTCCCAAACCCTTGGAAAACCAGCTGGAGCTGCCAAAAATGCTTTTTGGAGGAGAATTCTGTAAAAGCCGTGTCAGGGAGCGGAGCTTGGATAAATCCCAGCTCTGGATAAATCCCAGGAGAAGGTGGGAGAGGGATTTGGGGGGCTCAGGAAATCAGGGATGGCCAAAGTGGATCCCATCCCTGCTTCCCTGGAGGAATTCTGGTTTTCCAGGGGGTTTGGGGGAGCTCTGTGCAGAGGGAGAAGCAGCAGCCACGGCATTCCTGGCCTTTCCTGGGGCTGCCTCTGGAGAGCTGCCCTGGAGCTGGATCAGGACCTAAAGGGACGCCTGGGGATGGGTTTGGGATCGGGAGAGGGAGCCCAGAGCTGCTCCAGCAGCCCCAGGGGCTTCAGGGACACCCTGAGGGGGTGCAGGGACACTCGGAGGGGGTTCAGGGACACCTTGAAGTGGTTCAGGGACACTCAGAGGGGGTTCAGGGACACCTAAAGGGGGGATCACGGCCACCTTGAAGGACTTCATGACTACCAAAGGGGGTTCAGGGACATCCAAAGGGGTTCAGGGACACCCAAAGAGGGGATCAGGGCCACCTCGAGGGGGTTCAGGACTACCAAAGGGGGTTCCCCACCAATCCCATTGTTCCTACCAATCCCACCATGCCCACCAATCCCTCCATCCCCACCATTCCTACCATGCCCCCATTCCCCCCATTCCCCCAATCCCACCATTCCCATCAATCCCACCATCCCCACCAATACCTCTATTCCCACTATCCCCAGCATTCCCCACCATCCCCATTCCCCCCCCGCCAAAGTTACCAAAGGGGGTTCAGGGATACCCAGAGGGGGCTCAGGGCCACCCTGAGGGGGTTCAGGGCCACCCTGAGGAGTTACCAAAGGGGGTTCAGGGATACCAGAGGGGGCTCAGGGCCACCTTGAGGGAATTCAGGGCCACCCTGAGGGGGTTCAGGGCCACCAAAGGGGCTGTTCCCAGGGGTGCCGAGCCCTTTGTGGTGCCAAACAGCCCCAGCAGATGTGTCCAGGTGTCTCCAGGTGTATCCAGATGTGTCCAGCTGTGTCCAGGTGGGCACGGCAGCCCTGGGGCTGTGGGCTGCCATTCCCAAAGGAATGATCCCCTTTTGGGGCAGGGAGCAGACCCCACAGGACATTTCCTCCGGGAAAGCCCAGGGACACAAAGCCCCTTTTGTGGCCGAGGAGATGCTGGAAGTGCCAAAGGCCTCCCCGAAGAGCCAGGCAGGCCCTGGGGCTCCGCTCCCATCCCGAGCTGCTGGCACGGGATTCCCGTGGGATGGACCCGGCCCCAGGGGGCTCCTGCTGCCCAGAGCCTGCCAAGGAACGGGGCTGGAGGGGGGAGTCAGGGTGGCATTCCCAGCTCCAGAATTCCCCTTCTCATTCCCAGCTCCAGAATTCCCCCTCTCATTCCCAGCTCCAGGGTTCTCCTGTCATTCCCAGTCCCAGAATTCCCCTTTCATTCCCAGCTCCAGAATTCCCCCTCTCATTCCCAGCTCCAGGGTTCTCCTGTCATTCCCAGTCCCAGAATTCCCCTTTCATTCCCAGCTCCAGAATTCCCCCTCTTATTCCCAGCTCCAGGGTTCTCCTGTCATTCCCAGTCCCAGAATTCCCCTTTCATTCCCAGCTCCAGAATTCCCCCTGCTATTCCCAGCTCCGGAATTCCCCCTGTTATTCCCAGCTCCAGAATTCCCCCTCTCATTCCCAGCTCCAGAATTCCCCCTGTCACTCCCAGCTCCAGAATTCCCCCAGTCCCACTCTCAGATCCGTGCCCTGCTTCCCACGGATCCCTGGGCAGGTCCTGGCAGGCCGGGCCAGCTCCGGAGGGGAAGGAGGGAAAACAATTCCTCATTCTCTGGATTTCCTGGTGCCACAAAGGTCCCTGCGCAGGCAGGGCGGCCACCCTGAGCCCCGGCCAAGCTGCCTGGCTGGGGGATGTCGGGATGGGGCACCCCAGGCAGGATTTTGGGGCACCCAGGCAGAATTTTGGGGTGTGGGATGAGCCTGTGGAGCTCTCCCTGCAGGAACAAGTTCACCCAGCCCTGCAGGAAGCCTGGTCTCACTGGGAACCCCAGAAAAGGCCGCCTGGCCAGGGGATTTTGGGGATTTTGGGGCAGCCAGATGGGACTTTGGGGCACCCAAGCAGAATTTTGGGGTGTGGGATGTGCCTGTGGAGCTCTCCCTGCACGTTTGGCAAGAACGAGTTCACCCAGCCCTGCAGGAAGCCTGGTCTCACTGGGAACCCCAGCCAAAGCTGCCTGGCCAGGGGATTTTGGGGCAGCCAGGCAGGATTTTGGGGCAGCCAGGCTGGTTTTTGGGGCGTGGGGTGAGCCCGTGGCCCTGTCCCCACAGCAAGCACTCGCTGGGCAGCCACGAGCACATCCAGCACTGCAGGAAATTCGACATCGACATCCGGCTGCAGCTGCTCAGGAGGAAGGGGGTGCGCAGCGACCTGGCCCGCACGGTGGGTGTCACCTCCCTGGGATACTGAGGGGTCAGGCACACCGAGGGGTTGGTGTCACCCCCCTGGGACACCCAGAGGTTGGTGTCACACCATGGGGTCGGCGGTGTCACCTCCCTGCGACACCGCGGACTTGGTGTCACCTCCCTGGGACACCATGGGGTCAATGTCACTTCTCTGTGACACTGTGGGGTCAGTGTCACCTTCCTGGGACACCGGGGGTGGTGTCACCTCCCTGGGACACTGGGGGTCAGGGTCACCTCCCTGGGACACCAGGGGGTTGATGTCACACCATGGGGTCAGTGTTACCTCCCTGGGACACCGGGTGTTGGTGTCACCTCCCTGGGACACTGCAGGGTCAGTGTCACACTGCAGGGTCACTGTCACACCGAGGGGTTGGTGTCACCTCCCTGGGACACTGCAGGGTCAGTGTCACACCGAGGGGTTGGTGTCACCTCCCTGGGGCCCCGCTCAGCCTCTCTGTGTCCCCAGGCCAGCGATGACCAGAGCCCGTCCACCCTCAACCACCACATCCACCTGCAGGAGCGACCCATCAAACAGACCATCAGCAGGTAGGGCTGGGGACACGGTGGCACTGTCCCCAGTGCCAACCACCCAGGGGACATGGTGGCACTGTCCCCACGTGTCCCCTGGCCGGGGCTGAGCGCTGTCTCTCCTGTCATTCCCAGCTCCAGAATTCCCCCTGTCATTCCCAGCTCCAGAATTCCCCCTGTCACTCCCAGCTCCAGAATTCCCCCAGTCCCACTCTCAGATCCGTGCCCTGCTTCCCACGGATCCCTGGGCAGGTCCTGGCAGGCCGGGCCGGCTCCGGAGGGGAAGGAGGGAAAACAATTCCTCATTCTCTGGATTTCCTGGTGCCACAAAGGTCCCTGCGCAGGCAGGGCGGCCACCCTGAGCCCCGGCCAAGCTGCCTGGCTGGGGGATGTCGGGATGGGGCACCCCAGGCAGGATTTTGGGGCACCCAGGCAGAATTTTGGGGTGTGGGATGAGCCTGTGGAGCTCTCCCTGCAGGAACAAGTTCACCCAGCCCTGCAGGAAGCCTGGTCTCACTGGGAACCCCAGAAAAGGCCACCTGGCCAGGGGATTTTGGGGATTTTGGGGCAGCCAGACGGGATTTTGGGGCACCCAGGCAGGATTTTGGAGTGTGGGATGAGCCTGTGGAGCTCTCCCTGCAGGAACAAGTTCACCCAGCCCTGCAGGAAGCCTGGTCTCACTGGGAACCCCAGCCAAAGCTGCCTGGCCAGGGGATTTTGGGGCACCAGGGTGGGATTTTGGGGCACCCAGGCAGGATTTTGGAGTGCGGGATGTGCCTGTGGAGCTCTCCCTGCACGTTTGGCAAGAACGAGTTCACCCAGCCCTGCAGGAAGCCTGGTCTCACTGGGAACCCCAGCCAAAGCTGCCTGGCCAGGGGATTTTGGGGCATCCAGACAGGATTTTGGGGCACCCAGGTGGGATTTTGGGGCACCCAGGCAGGATTTTGGGGCAGCCAGACGGGATTTTGGGGCACCCAGGCAGGATTTTGGAGCAGCCAGACGGGATTTTGGGGCAGCCAGGCAGGATTTTGGGGCAGCCAGGCTGGTTTTTGGGGCGTGGGGTGAGCCCGTGGCCCTGTCCCCACAGCAAGCACTCGCTGGGCAGCCACGAGCACATCCAGCACTGCAGGAAATTCGACATCGACATCCGGCTGCAGCTGCTCAGGAGGAAGGGGGTGCGCAGCGACCTGGCCCGCACGGTGGGTGTCACCTCCCTGGGATACTGAGGGGTCAGGGTCACCTCCCTGGGACACCAGGGGGTTGATGTCACACCATGGGGTCAGTGTTACCTCCCTGGGACACCGGGTGTTGGTGTCACCTCCCTGGGACACTGCAGGGTCAGTGTCACACCGAGGGGTTGGTGTCACCTCCCTGGGACACTGAGAGGTCAGTGTCACACCGAGGGGTTGGTGTCACCTCCCTGTGGCCCCGCTCAGCCTCTCTGTGTCCCCAGGCCAGCGATGACCAGAGCCCGTCCACCCTCAACCACCACATCCACCTGCAGGAGCGACCCATCAAACAGACCATCAGCAGGTAGGGCTGGGGACACGGTGGCACTGTCCCCAGTGCCAACCACCCAGGGGACATGGTGGCACTGTCCCCACGTGTCCCCTGGCCGGGGCTGAGCGCTGTCCCCTGTCCCCCAGGCAGGCCCTGAGTCTCCTCTTCGACACCTTCCACAACGAGGTGGACGCGTTCCTGGCGGCCGAGGTGAGGCCAGCGCTGGCTTTGGGGTTTTTGGGGTTTTTGGGGATTTGGGGATTTGGGGGGGTTTTGATCCTCTGGGAATGCAGTGGGCAAAGGCTGCTGTGCTGTTCCAGGCTCAGATTGTATCCAGGTAGGAATGCTGGGCTCCTCCCCTGGGTGGAGCATCTCCCATGGGATGATGGAATTTGATCAGCCAGGCAGGGACACTCCCTGGCCATGGACAGAAGATAATTAATAATTAACGGCCCATGAACAGCAGACAACTGCTCCTCCTTTAAGAGTTGGCAATAGAGTCCACTCTTATCTTGCAATCCAGGAGCCGAAGGAACTCAGCCAGGAGTGGGAGGAGAACAAAAATTGTCACATCTGGCTCTTTTCCCTCCTTTCCACCACGTGGAAAATCCCTCAATAGCCGGGAGCAGCCAGGATCTGGCAGCCTGGGGTGGTTACGTAAAATCCACCTTGGCAGCGCTCAGGGGTTTCTTGTGGTTTCTTCTTTTTTTTGTGGTTTCTCTCTTTTTTCGGTGGTTTTTCTCGCTTTTTTTTTTTTTTTTTTTTGGTGGTTTCTCAATTTTTTCTGTGTGGTTTTTGTTATTTTTTTTATTCTTTCCCTCCACAGGATCCAAACGTTCTGGCCAAGAGGGAAAATCGAGGTATTTCTCTTCTCCTGCTCCCCTTTCTGGGCTCAAGTTCGTGCCATGCTTTTCATCTTCAAACCCCTCCTCCCCCTTCAGTTCTTGAGGCCAAAAAACACGTTGGAAACCGGTCTGGTTAAAAAAGAAAAAAAAAAAAGGAGGATTTTGGGGGGTGTTGTTGCTCCTTGTGAGCTCCAAACGGAAAATTTGGAATTCCCCTTACTCCAAATGGGGAGTTTGGAATTCCCCCATCATTAATTCATCCCTGAGTAGGGGGGAAGCAGCGTGGGGGTCCTAAATCCAGCTATGAAGGATAGATCCCTGAGGGATTGAGGGATCCATGAGTGATGAATGGATCCCTGTCCGTGTTTCCTTGAGGAAAATTGATTGATCCCTGAGGAACTGATGGATCTGTGGGGGATTGATGGATCCCTGACTGTGTTTCCCTGAGGGATTCATGGATTCCTGAGGGATTGATAGATCCATGAGGGATTGATAGATCCCTGTCAATGTTTCCCTGAGGGATTGATGGATCCCTGAGGGGTTGATGGATTCCTAAGGGACTGATGGATTCCCCAAGGGACTGGTGGATCCCTATCCATGTTTCCCTGAGGGATCGATGAATCCATGAGGGATTGATGGATCCCTCTCCCTGTTTCCCTGAGGGATTGATGGATCCCTGAGATTTTGATGGATCCCTGTCCATGTTCCCCTGGGGGATCAATGGATCCCTGCCCCTGTTTCTGAGGGATTGATGGATCCCTGTCCATGTTCCCCTGAGGGGTCGATGGATCCCTGAGATTTCGATGGATCCCTGTCCATGTTCCCCTGAGGGGTCGATGGATCCCTGTCCGTGTTCCCCTGAGGGGTCGATGGATCCCTGTCCGTGTTCCCCTGATGGATTCATGGATCCCTGTCCATGTTCCCCTGAGGGATCCATGGATCCCCACCCCCGTTTCTGAGGCAGAGGCGGATCCCCGAGGCACTGCCGCATCCCCGCCCCGTGTCTCCCTCTGCAGAGAGGATCGTGGAGAGCCTCACGGCCGCCATCCTCAACCTGGTGGAGCTCTACTGCAGCACCTTCAACGCCGACTTCCAGACGGCCGCGCCCGGCAGCCGCGAGCTGGGCGTGGCGCAGGAGGCGCGGCTGCTCACCTGCCCCCTGAGCTTCACCGTCTACGCCACGCACCGCATCCCCATCACCTGGGCCACCAGGTAAGGCCCTCCTCACCTGGTGTCTTGCTGTGCACAGCCAGGTGTGTGCTAAGGCCACCCAACGCCACCCCATCGCCCGGGCCCTCCTCGCCCGCTGCCTCGGTGTCCAAACCTAGCTGGCTGCTGAGGAAGGCAGGACCTCCCCTGAAAGGGAAAATTTAAACCCTCCCTCCCTCTGAATTGTTGTAATTTTGAAGTTAAGGGGTTGTCGGGTAAAGGTGTGGGAATGAGGAATGACAGTGCTTTATTGGGGAAATTAAAATACAAATGCAATAGTGAAAAAAAAACCAAAAACAAAAAAGAAACCTGACAGAGTCAGCAAAAAAACAAAATGTTCCTGGCAATGCTGGCAATGGGACACTCCGAAATCCCACTGTGTGTCCGGGACACCCTAAAATCCCAGTGTGTTCCTGGGAATGGTGGCACTGGGACACAATATAAATATAAATATAAATATAATTGTAATTATACTGTATCACACTATAATATGACATAATATAAATATAAATATAAAGAAATAAAGAGACAAACAAAACTGCCCCACCTCTAACCGCTCAATAGAACTCCCAGCCCCAGGCACAGCTTCCATCCCCCTGAGCCCGGCTCCCTCCCTGTCCCCCCCAGGGCGACGTCCCCCTGAAGGCCGAGCGGGTGATCCAGTCGGTCATGGCCATCTGCAGCGCCCTGGCGGCCGTGGAGTCGCAGGAGATCACCGCCGCCCTCAACCAGATGCCGCCCTGCCCGTCCCGCATGCAGCCCAAAATCCAGAAGGTGAGCCTGGGGTGTCCTGGTTTAACAGCCAGGTTCTGCTGAGGGAGGCAGGAGCCCCCCTGAAATGGGAAATGGAAACCCCTCCCTCGCAATTGTTATGATTTTGGAATTAAAGGGCTCTCAGGCAAAGGTATGGGACAGGAATAACAGTTCTTTAGTGTGAAAATTAAAATACAATTGCAATAGTGCAAAAAAAAAGAAAACCAAACCCTGCCAGAGTCAGAAGAGGAGCAGCCCAAAATCCAGAAGGTGAGCCTGGGGTGTCCTGGTTTAACAGCCAGGTGTGTGCTAAGGAAGGCAGGAGCCCCCCTGAAATGGGAAATGTAAACCCTCTCCCTCGGAATTGTTATAATTTTGAAATTAAGGGGTTCTCAGACAAAGATATGGGACAGGAATAACAATTCTTTATTAGGAAAGAAAATAAAAATAAAATAACAATGTAGTACAACAAAACAACCCTGCCAGAGCCAGAGCAGGAGCTGAGCCCTGTGTGTCAGGGTGGTGGCACAGTCCCATCCCATGGGGGCTCAGCCCTCCTGCAGTGCCAGCTGTGCTTCTGCTGGAGCAGGGATCCTGCACAAGGCTGCAGTTTTCCTCTGGAGCTCCAGGGCTGCTGGAGATGGGCCTGGTGTTCCTCTGGGAATGCAGGGCAGGAGAAAGCTGCTCCTCTGGGAATGCAGTGGGCAAAGGCTGCTGTGCTGTTCCAGGCTCAGATTGTATCCAGGTAGGAATGCTTGGCTCCTGCCCTGGGCGGAGCATCTCCCAGTGGGATGCTGGAATTTGATCAGCCATGCAGGGACACTCAGTGGCCATGGACAGCAGAGATCTCCTGGAGGGAGGATTGGCTGTGGGAAAATCCCTCAATAGCCGGGAGCAGCCAGGATCTGGCAGCCTGGGGTGGTTACGTAAAATCCGCCTTGGCAGCGCTCAGGGGTTTCTTGTGGTTTCTTCTTTTTTTTGTGGTTTCTCTCTTTTTTTGGTGGTTTTTCTCGCTTTTTTTTTTTTTTTTTTGGTGGTTTCTCAATTTTTTCTGTGTGGTTTTTGTTATTTTTTTTATTCTTTCCCTCCACAGGATCCAAACGTTCTGGCCAAGAGGGAAAATCGAGGTATTTCTCTTCTCCTGCTCCCCTTTCTGGGCTCAAGTTCGTGCCATGCTTTTCATCTTCAAACCCCTCCTCCCCTTTCAGTTCTTGAGGCCAAAAAACGCGTTGGAAACCGGTCTGGTTAAAAAAGAAAAAAAAAAAAAGGAGGATTTTGGGGGGGGTTGTTGCTCCTTGTGAGCTCCAAACGGAAAATTTGGAATTCCCCTTACTCCAAATGGGGAGTTTGGAATTCCCCCATCATTAATTCATCCCTGAGTAGGGGGGAAACAGCGTGGGGGTCCCAAATCCAGATTTGAGGGATGGATCCCTGAGGGATTGAGGGATCCATGAGTGATCAGTGGATCCCTGTCTGTGTTTCCTTGAGGAAAATTGATCGATCCCTGAGGAACTCATGGATCTGTGGGGGACTGATGGATCTGTGGGGGATTGATGGATCCCTGAGGGGTTGATGGATTCCTAAGGGACTGATGGATTCCCCAAGGGACTGGTGGATCCCTATCCATGTTTCCCTGAGGGATTAATGGAACCCTGTCACTGTTTCCCTGAGGGATCCATGGATCCCTATCCATGTTTCCCTGAGGGACTGACGGATCCCTATCCATGTTTCCCTGAGGGATCGATGAATCCATGAGGGATTGATGGATCCCTCTCCCTGTTTCCCTGAGGGATTGATGGATCCCTGAGATTTTGATGGATCCCTGTCCATGTTCCCCTGGGGGATCAATGGATCCCTGCCCCTCTTTCTGAGGGATCGACAGATCCCTGTCCATGTTCCCCTGAGGGGTCGATGGATCCCTGAGATTTCTATGGATCCCTGTCCATGTTTCCCTGAAGGGTCGATGGATCCCTGAGATTTCTATGGATCCCTGTCCATGTTTCCCTGAGGGGTCGATGGATCCCTGTCCATGTTCCCCTGAGGGGTCGATGGATCCCTGTCCATGTTCCCCTGAGGGGTCGATGGATCCCTGAGATTTCTATGGATCCCTGTCCATGTTTCCCTGAAGGGTCGATGGATCCCTGAGATTTCTATGGATCCCTGTCCATGTTTCCCTGAGGGGTCGATGGATCCCTGTCCATGTTCCCCTGAGGGATCCATGGATCCCCACCCCCGTTTCTGAGGCAGAGGCGGATCCCCGAGGCACTGCCGCATCCCCGCCCCGTGTCTCCCTCTGCAGAGAGGATCGTGGAGAGCCTCACGGCCGCCATCCTCAACCTGGTGGAGCTCTACTGCAGCACCTTCAACGCCGACTTCCAGACGGCCGCGCCCGGCAGCCGCGAGCTGGGCGTGGCGCAGGAGGCGCGGCTGCTCACCTGCCCCCTGAGCTTCACCGTCTACGCCACGCACCGCATCCCCATCACCTGGGCCACCAGGTAAGGCCCTCCTCACCTGGTGTCTTGCTGTGCACAGCCAGGTGTGTGCTAAGGCCACCCAACGCCACCCCATCGCCCGGGCCCTCCTCGCCCGCTGCCTCGGTGTCCAAACCTAGCTGGCTGCTGAGGAAGGCAGGACCTCCCCTGAAAGGGAAAATTTAAACCCTCCCTCCCTCTGAATTGTTGTAATTTTGAAGTTAAGGGGTTGTCGGGTAAAGGTGTGGGAATGAGGAATGACAGTGCTTTATTGGGGAAATTAAAATACAAATGCAATAGTGAAAAAAAAACCAAAAACAAAAAAGAAACCTGACAGAGTCAGCAAAAAAACAAAATGTTCCTGGCAATGCTGGCAATGGGACACTCCGAAATCCCACTGTGTGTCCGGGACACCCTAAAATCCCAGTGTGTTCCTGGGAATGGTGGCACTGGGACACACCAAAATCCCAGCACATTCCTGGGATTGCTGGTACTGGGACACCCCAAAATCCCAGCACATTCCTGGGATTGCTGGCACTGGGACACCCCGAAATCCCAGCACATTCCTGGGAACACTGGCACTGGGACACCCTAAAATCCCAGCATATTTCTGGGAATGCTGGCTCTGGGAAACCCCAAAATCCCACTGTGTGTCTGGGACACCCCAAAACCCCAGCTCACCTGGGAATGCTGGCACTGGGACACCCCAGAATCCCAGCACATTCCTGGGATCGCTGGCACTGGGACACCCCAAAATCCCAACGTGTGTCTGGGACACCCCAAAATCCCAGCTCACCTGGGAATGCTGGCACTGGGACACCCCAGAATCCCAGCACATTCCTGGGATCGCTGGCACTGGGACACCCCAAAATCCCAGCCTGTTCCCGGGATCGCTGGCACTGCCAGGCAGGCCGGGATGTCACCGCAGCTCGGGCCGGGCTGGCTCATCCCGAGGCCACCCGGGGGAGGTGACAGATGGCCCCGCGCCCCGCGCCAGCGGCGTGGCCCCTTTGTTCCGCTCCTCCGTGCCCGTGCCCGGCGCGGGGGGGACCGGAGGGGACCGGGAGGGGACCGGGGGGTGGCGACAGCGGCGCCGGCAGAGCCGCCCCGCCGGGGACCCCTCGCCTTTGTCCTTGTCCTTAATGTATTCCCTTGGTGAGTGGCTCCGAACAAAGCGGCGAGCCTGGGAAATGCCGCCAGCCCCTGACCCCCGCGCCCCGCAGCCCTGCCCGGATTGTCGCAGCCCTGCCCGGATTGTCGCTCGGCACCTGCCACATGGCAGGGCCCCCCCGTGTGCCGGAATGCGCCGTGCCATATGGTGCTGGGGACATCGGGGCGGGGGGGACGTGTCCCCGTCCTGTCCCCCTTTCCCATCCTCGGGGCAGCATTTAGAGGTTCTGGTGATCCGGGTTTTCCCCTCCTTGGGGCAGGATTTAGGGGCTCTGGTGATCCTGGTAAAGCTCCCCCTGCCTTTCTCATTCTTGGAGCAGGATTTAGGGGTTCTGGTGGCCCAGATAAAGCCCCACCACCCCTTTCCCATCCTTGAGACAGGATTTAGGGGTTCTGATGATCTGGGTTTTCCCATCCTTGGGGAAGGATTTAGGGGCTCTGGTGATCTGGGCGAAGCCCTCCCTTTTCCATCCTCGGGGCAGGATTTAGGGATTCTGATGATCTGGGTTTTCCCATCATTGTGGAAGGATTTAGGGGCTCTGGTGATCTGGGTGAAGCCCCCCCTTTTCCATCCTTGGGGAAGGATTATGGGGCTCTGGTGATCCAGGTTTTCCCATCCTTGGAGCAGGATTTAGGGGCTCTGGTGATCTGGGTTTTCCCATCATTGTGGAAGGATTTAGGGGCTCTGGTGATCTGGGTGAAGCCCCCCCTTTTCCATCCTTGGGGCAGGATTTAGGAGTTCTGGTGACCCTGGTATAGCCCTCCCTCACCCCTTCCCCATCCTCAGGACAGGATTTAGGGGCTCAGGTGCCCCCCCACCCCCGGCTCATTTGGTGTTTTCCCCGCAGTTATGAAGATTTCTACCTCTCGTGCTCCCTCAGCCACGGCGGGAAGGAGCTGTGCAGCCCCCTGCTCACCAGGAAGGCCCACGTCTACAAATACCTCTTCCACCTCATCATTTGGGACCAGCAGTAAGGCCACGGGCTGGCCACGGGGGTCCCACCCACGCTGCCTTCATCATCCTCACCACCATCCTCCCCTCCCCTGCTCCTCCTCTCCTCTGCGCGCGTTTTGGAAGTTTTTGTGTCATTGCCCGGAAATAGCAACCCCCGGGAAAGGGGATCTGCTCCCAAAATAGCTCCGGGAGCAGGCGGGGAGGCCGTGCTGAGCCCTCGCCACGCCTGGCATCCGCAGCGGCCCGGGAGGTGGGGATGGCACGGGATAATTTTAGACGGCGCCGGTGCCCCCAAGGACGGTGCCCGGCGGGACGGCGGCGAGCGCAGCGATCCCGGGGATCCTTCCCCTTCCTTCCCGCGGGATGTAGCTGCCACCCCGAGCTCCCTGGGAGCGGCAGAGAGGAATCCCAGCCCCGGGGGTCCCACACGGCCCCTTCCCCCCGGGTTGTGGGGCAAGGTCAGTGCCCGGTGGGGCTCCCCGTGGAGGGCCCTGGCCCTGCGGTCACCTTCGCGGGACGGAGAGCGCAGCCGGGCTCCCCGGAGCTGCCGCAGCACCAGCTGGCTGTCCCCAAACCTGCGGGGTGGCTGGCACTTCAGGGACTACCTGGGACTTTCTGGGACTTCCAGGGACTTCCAAGGACACCCCGGTGCCTGCAGAAGAGGCGGGTGTAGGGCCGGGCTCTCCCGGGGCATCCCAAGCAAGGGACTGGGAGAGCCTGTCCCTGGCACCCCGAGCCTGTCGCTGGCACCCTGAGCTGGTCCCTGCACCCTGAGCCCATCTGCTGCATCCTGAGCCCATCCCTGGCACCCCGAGCTCATCCCCAGCACCCTGAGCCTGTCCCTGGCACCCCGAGCCCATCCCTGGCATCCCGAGCCTGTCCCTGGCACCCTGAGCCCGTCCCGGCACCCTGAGCCTGTCCCTGGCACCCCGAGCCCATCCCTGGCACCCCGAGCCTGTCCCTGGCACCCTGAGCCCGTCCCGGCACTCTGAGCCTGTCCCTGGCACCCTGAGCCCATCCCCAAGCCCATCCCCAGCACCCTAAGCTGGTGCCTGGTAGCCTGTGCCCATCCCTGGCACCCCAAACTCATCTCTGGCACCTCAAGCCCATCCCCAAGCCCATCCCTGGCACCCCAAGCCCATCCCTGGCACCCTGAGCCTGTCCCTGGCACCCCAAGCCCATCCCTGGCACCCCAAGCCCATCCCTGGCACCCTGAGCCTGTCCCTGGCACCCCGAGCCCATCCCTGGCACCCCGAGCCTGTCCCTGGCGCCCTGAGCCCGTCCTGGCACTCTGAGCCTGTCCCTGGCACCCTGAGCCCGTCCCGGCACTCTGAGCCTGTCCCTGGCACCCTGAGCCCATCCCCAAGCCCATCCCCAGCACCCTAAGCTGGTGCCTGGTAGCCTGTGCCCATCCCTGGCACCCCAAACTCATCTCTGGCACCTCAAGCCCATCCCCAAGCCCATCCCTGGCACCCTGAGCCTGTCCCTGGCACCCCAAGCCCATCCCCGGCACCCCGAGCCCATCCCCACCCTCTCTCCTGCAGGATCTGCTTCCCGGTCCAGGTGAACCGGCTGCCCCGGGAGACCCTGCTCAGTGTCACCCTCTTCGCCGTGCCCGTGCCACCCCCGGGCGGCTCCTCGGACGCCAACAAGCAGCGGCGGGTCCCCGAGGCCCTGGGCTGGGTCACCACCCCCCTCTTCAACTTCAGGCAGTACGTGGGGTGTGCCAGCACCCTGGGCATGGCAAGGGGCTGGGCTGGCATCCCTGGGGGCACGGGAGGGTCCCCAGAACCTTGGGGTCCCCAGTACTGTGAGGTCCCCTGGGCACGGTGAATAGCTGGGCTGGCATCCCTGGGGGGCACAGGACGGACCCCAGAACCTTGGGGTCCCCAGAACCTCGGTGTCCCCAGTGCTGTGAGGTCCCCTGGGCACGGTGAATAGCTGGGCTGGCATCCCTGGGGGACACAGGAGGGTCCCCAGTGCTGTGGGGTCCCAAAAACCTCGGTGTCCCCAGTGCCAGGGGTCCCCAGTGCCTCAGCTCAGCACCAGCAGCGGTGCCACCCTCGTGCCCCAGCAGAGTGCCCCCCCAGTGCCACCCTTTGTCCCCCGCAGGGTCCTGACCTGCGGGCGGAAGCTCCTGGGCTTGTGGCCGGCCACTCAGGACAACTCCAGGGCCAGGTCGAGCGCCCCAAACTTCAACCAGCCCGACAGCGTCATCCTGCAGGTACGTCCTGGCATTCCAGGGGCACAGACCCCCCCCCCCAGAGCTCCTGGCGGGGGTCCCTCACCCTGTGCCTCTGCCCCAGATCGACTTCCCCACCTCGGCCTTCGAGGTGAAGTTCACCAGCCCGCCCGCGGCCGAGGGCAGCCCCCGCTACGAGTTCGGCAGCCTGGGGGAGGAGGAGCAGCGCCAGCTGCGGGAGGCCATGCAGAAAAAATCCCTTTATTGGTAAATAAACCCGGGGGAGGCATTGCCCTGCTGGGGGGACACCGGTGATACCCACCAGCATGCACAGGGGGTGTCACAGGGGGTGTCCCTCCCTCCAGGAGATTTTGGAGCTGGGGGGTTCTCCCGTGTGCTGCCCTCGCTGTTGTCCCCTCCTCGGGGACAGCTGAGCGGTGCCTCGGCCAGGCTGGCACGGCTGGAGCTGTGCGGGGGGATCGGGTGTCAGCAGCTGCCCAGAGGGTGCAGGGGCTGGCAGCAGGGCTGGCTCGGGGGTCCCTGGGCAGGGGGACAGCCAGGGACAGCTCTGTCCCCCTGGGCACGGCTCCTCCTGGCTGTCCCTCAGCAGGGCCCTGCTGCCATCAGCCCCTCTGTCCCAGGGGCTGGGCAGTGCGGGCATGCAGGGGGGGCTCGGGGCATTTATTGGGGCTCCAATAAATGCTGGGGGCACAGGGGACACACACCCCGTCCTGCCAGCCCTGTTCTGTCCATGTGTGAGGAGGGCACAGGGCTGCCACCTCCCCAATTAATCCATGCACAGTGGGGCACAGGGGTGCCACCTCCCTGACCTTCCAGCCCCATCCCATCCACGTGTTTTGGGGTCACAGGGATGCCACCTCCCAATCCTGCCAGCCCCATTTAATCCATGCACAGTCGGGCACAGGGATGCCACCTCCCTGAGCTCCCACATGTTCTGGGGTCACAGGGATGCCACCTCCTCATCCTCCCATGTGTTCTGGGGTCACAGGGATGCCACCTCCTCATCCTCCCACATGTTCTGGGGTCACAGGGATGCCACCTCCTCATCCTCCCATGTGTTCTGGGGTCACAGGGATGCCACCTCCTCACCCTCCCATGTGTTCTGGGGTCACAGGGATGCCACCTCCTCCCCCTCCCGCCCCACGCCACCCCTGCCATGCCCTCCCTGACGCTGTCCCCGTGTCCCCTCAGGCTGACAGATGCGGACCGGCAGCGGCTGTGGGAGAAGCGCTGTCACTGCCACGCGTCCCCCGGCGCCCTGCCCATGCTGCTGGCCAGTGCCCCCAGCTGGGACTGGGGCTGCCTGCCCGACATCTACGCCCTGCTCAGCCAGTGGAGCTCCATGAGCCACCAGGACGCCCTGGGGCTGCTGCACGCCACGTAAGCCACCCGCGGGCCGTGGGGACACCCGTGTCATGTGGCGGTGGCAGGAGGGCGCCGTCACCCCACGGAACGTGTCCCTGCTGCAGGTTCCCAGACCAGGAGGTGAGGAGGACGGCCGTGCAGTGGATCGACTCCATCTCGGACACGGAGCTGCTGGATTACCTGCCCCAGCTGGTGCAGGTGCGTGGTGGCACCGGGATGTGCCACGGGGTGCCCGCGGGTGCCACCGCGGCCCTGTGACACTGTCCCTGTGCAGGCCCTGAAGTACGAGTGCTACCTGGACAGCCCCCTGGTGCGCTTCCTCATGAAGAGGGCCATCTGTGATCTGAAGATCACCCACTACTTCTTCTGGTGGGTTTGGGGGCCTCTGGGAGCGGTGGGGGCACCCTGACCTGTGTGTCCCCAAGGCAGAGGGGACCCTGGGGCTGGCCTGACCCCGCATGTCCCCAATCCGGTGGGGTTCCCAAGCCTGGCCTGTCCCCACGTGTCCCCAAACCAGAGGGTCACCCCGAGCCTGGCCTGACCCCACATGTGCCCAAACCAGAGGGTCACCCCGAGCCTGGCCTGACCCCACATGTCCCCAAACCAGAGGGTCACCCCAAGCCTGGCCTGACCCTGCATGTCCCCAAACCGGGTGGGTCCCCGAGCCTGGCGTGACCCCGCGTGTCCCCAGCAGGCTGCTGAAGGATGGCCTCAAGGACTCCCAGTTCAGCATCCGGTACCAGTACCTGCTGGCGGCGCTGCTGTGCTGCTGCGGGAAGGGGCTGCGCGAGGAGTTTGACCGGCAGTGCCTGTTGGTCAGCACGCTGGCCAGGCTGGCACAGCAGGTCCGGGACGCCGCCCCATCCGCCCGCCAGGTGGGTGCTGGGGTGCTGGGAGAGGTGCAGGGGTGCAGCCCCTGTCCCACACTCACCCCTCCTGTCCCATGCCCGTCTTGTCCCATCATGTTCCTACCCTATCCCATGTCCACCCTGGGTTTTGTCTGCTATATTCCATGCCTACTCCATCCCATGCTGATCCCTTCCCATGCCCACTCCTCTCTATCCCATTTCTATCCCATGGTTACCCTCTTCCTTGCGCATCCCATCCCGTCCTATCCCATGCCCATCCTATCCCTATCCCATCCCATTCATTCCCACCTTGTCCCTTGCCCATCCCACCCCATTCCCATGGATACCATCCCACCCCATTCCCCTGGATCCCATCCCATCCCATCCCATCTCACCCCATTCCCATCCTATTCCTATGGATCCCATCCCACCCCATCCCATGCCCATCCTATCCCCATCCCATTCCTACCTTGTCCCTTGGCCATCCCATCCCATCCCATCCCATCTCACCCCATTCCCATGGATCCCATCCCATCCCACCCCATTCCCATGGATCCCACCCCATTCCCACGGATCCCGCCCCGTTCCCGCCCCCAGGCCATCCTGCGCGAGGGGCTGGAGGACGTGGCGCAGTTCTTCAAGGCCCACGGCTCGTGCCGGCTGCCACTCAGCCCCAGCCTGCTGGTCAAGGGCATCGTGCCCCAGGTGAGTGCCAGCCCCGGGGGGCTTGGGGGGCTCCTCTGCCCGTTCCTGGCTCACCCTGACCGGCTGCCCCTCCCTCCTTCCCATGGCAGGACTGCTCCTACTTCAACTCCAACGCCGTCCCGCTGAAGCTCTCCTTCCAGAACGTCGATCCGCTCGGAGAGAACATCCGCGTCATCTTCAAGGTCAGCCTTTGGAAATGCCCAAATCCTGGCACAGCCCTCCGAGAATCCCCCTGCTCCGTGCTCTGAGGGCTCTGGTGGCTCTTCCCCTGGCACTGATGGTTCTCCTCTGGTTCTGGTGGCTCTGGTGGTTCTCCCCTGGCTCTGGTGGTTCTCCCCTTGCTCTGGTGGCTCTGGTGGTTATCCCCTGGCTCTGATGTCATTGGTGGCTCTGATGGCTTTGGTGGCCCTGATGGTTCTCCGCTGGCTCTCATGGCTCTGGTGGCTCTGATGGCATTGGTGGCTCTGATGGCTTTGGTGGCCCTGATGGTTCTCCGCTGGCTCTCATGGCTCTGGTGGCTCTGGTGGCTCTCCCCTGGCCCTGATGGCTCTGGTGGCTCTTCCCCCGGCAGTGTGGCGATGACCTGCGGCAGGACATGCTGACGCTGCAGATGATCCGCATCATGAACAAGATCTGGGTGCAGGAGGGGCTGGACATGCGCATGGTCATCTTCCGCTGCTTCTCCACCGGCCGCGGGCGAGGTGAGACACAGTTTGGGTGTCCCCAGGGGTCCCCAGTGGGGCTGGGGATGGCCCAGGACATCCTGGGGTCTGATCCCACCAGCCCATCCCTGTCACACAGTGGTGACGGGTGGGGAGCGGTTGGGTTGGTGACAGAGGGGGTTGGGGTCGTGGTTCTTGGGGCTGGAAGGGTCTCACCCTGCTGTCCCACCTGCCAGGCATGGTGGAGATGATCCCCAACGCCGAGACCCTGCGGAAAATCCAGGTGGAGCACGGCGTGACCGGCTCCTTCAAGGACCGGCCGCTGGCAGACTGGCTGCAGAAACACAACCCCGAGGAGGACGAGTACGAGAAGGTGAGGAAGAATCCCTGCTCCTTGTGTCCCCCATTCCAGGGAACAGCCCCTTGCTTCCATCCTTTCTCCACGTCCTTCCCTCTTCCTCACAGGCCGTGGAAAACTTCATCTACTCCTGCGCCGGCTGCTGCGTGGCCACGTACGTGCTGGGCATCTGTGACAGGCACAACGACAACATCATGCTCAAGACCACGGGCCACATGTTCCACATTGATTTTGGCCGGTTCCTGGGCCACGCCCAGATGTTTGGCAACATCAAGAGGTGAGAGAGGCCCCTGGGATCTCCTGTCTCACCCCTGCCGAGGGGGAAGCTCCCTGTCCTTGTCCTCGTGGTGGGTGACGTCTCCTTCCTCATGTCCTGGTGGTGGGTGACCTCTCCCTGTCATCCCAGTGGTGGCCACAGTGACCTCCCCTTCTCCTTGTCCTGGTGGGAGGTGACCTCCTTCTGTCCGTGTCCTGGTGGTGGGTGACCTTTCCCTCTCCATGTCCTGGCAGTGGGTGACCTCTCCCTCTCCTCGTCCCGCCCCCCACCCCTGCTCACTTTGTCCCTCCTGTCCCCTGGCGCAGGGACAGGGCACCATTTGTGTTCACCTCGGACATGGCGTATGTCATCAACGGTGGGGACAAGCCCTCCAGCCGCTTTCACGACTTCGTGGACCTGTGCTGCCAGGCCTACAACCTGATCCGCAAGCACACCCACCTCTTCCTCAACCTGCTGGGGCTGGTGAGAGCCGGGGGGCCACAAAATTCCCCTCAGCGTGGCACGGGGGTCCCTTTGTCCCCTGTGTTCATCCCTGCCCTCCCTGCCAGATGCTGTCCTGCGGCATCCCCGAGCTCTCCGACCTGGAGGACCTCAAGTACGTCTATGACGCGCTGAGGCCGCAGGACTCTGATGCCGATGCCACCACCTACTTCACCAGGTAGGGGACACGGGTGGGTGACACAGCAGCGGCTGGAGGCTCCCTCGGATGGTGGCACTGAGTGCGCGGTGGCCTCCTTGCAGGTTGATCGAGTCCAGCCTGGGCAGCGTGGCCACCAAGCTCAACTTCTTCATCCACAACCTGGCGCAGATGAAGTTCACGGGCTCGGACGCGCGGCCCACGCTGTCGTTCGCGCCCCGCACGCACACCCTCAAAACGTCCGGCCGGATCCGCGACGTCTTCCTCTGCCGCCACGAGAGGGTCTTCAACCCCAGCAAGGGCTATGTGAGTGGGGACAGCTGGGGACAGGCCCAGGCTGGGCTTGGGGCACCCCAGGTCCCCATCCCATGTCACGGCCCTGCCTCCCCGCAGACCTACGTGGTGAAGGTGCAGAGGGACAACCCGGGCGAGGTCACCTTCGTGCAGCGCACCTTCGAGGAGTTCCAGGAGCTGCACAACAAACTGCGCCTCCTCTTCCCCTCCTCGCTGCTGCCCAGGTACCCCTGAAGCCCCTCAGGACCTCCAGGGACTCCCCGAAACCCCCCGGGACCCCGCTGAGTGTCTGTCCCCGCAGCTTCCCCAGCAGGTTTGTCATCGGGCGCTCGCGGGGCGAGGCGGTGGCCGAGCGGCGCAAGGAGGAGCTCAACGGCTACATCTGGCACCTGATCCACGCCGCCCCCGAGGTGGCAGAGGTGGGGACACAGGGTGGGGGCTGCGGGGAGGTGGGGACAGCGCCAGGGCCACCAGCGAGGTGGGGAAACACTTGGGGACAACGCAGCTGCATCGGCACGCCCCGGTTTTGAATGGCGGAGATGTTGTCACCGCTGTCACCACTAATGTCACCTCTTGACCCTGCAGTGTGATCTCATCTACACCTTCTTCCACCCCCTGCCCCGGGATGAGAAGGCAGCCGGAACCAACCCCACCCCAAAGCCGTCAGGTGGGGAAGGGGTGATTTTGGGGGGTGATTTTGGGAGGTGATGGGAGAGGGTGACATCAGGAGTGTGCCATCCCTCCTGTCCCCCTCTGCAGACGCCACGTGGGCTCGATCCCTGGGCAAGGTCGGCGGGGAGGTGAAACTCTCCATCTCCTACAAGAACAACAAGCTCTTCATCATGGTGATGCACATCCGCGGGCTGGTAGGACCACGGCACCCACGGGAGCGGGGCTGGGGGGCTGTCCCCTCCCTGCCCTCACGGCGTGTCCCCACTCTGTCCCACAGCCACCCCTGCAGGACGGCAACGACCCCGACCCCTACGTCAAGACCTACCTGCTGCCCGACCCCCAAAAAACCACCAAGAGGAAAACCAAAGTGGCCCGAAAAACCTGCAACCCCACCTACAACGAGATGGTAGGAGGAGGGAGCGGGATGGATTTGGAGGGTCCCCATGGGTGGCCGTGGCTGAGGGTTTGTCCCCGTTGTGTCCCACAGCTGGTGTACGACGGGATCCCCCGGGGGGACCTGGAGCAGCGGGAGCTGCGGCTGAGCGTGCTGAGCGAGGAGGGATTTTGGGAGAACATCCTGCTGGGGGAGGTGGGAATTCGCCTCCGCGACCTGGACCTGGCCCAGGAGAAGATGGGCTGGTTCGCCCTGGGCTCCCGTGGCCACGGCACCCTCTGAGTCCCCGTGGGGACCCCCGGGGTGTCCCCAAAAGTGGCTTCTTTTTTAAGTTTACCTTGTGTCAAGGGAGCAACGCGGGGAGGGCGGGGCGTGGGGCGGTTCGGGGGTTATTTCTTCCTTTGGGATATCCGTATTTTAATTTTTTTAATAACGAGTAGCGTGAGCACCGGGGCGGAGGTGGCACGGGGGGGTTGGGGGGTGTGTGGAACCCCCCCACCCCAGGAATCGGGCAATTCCCACCGCGGGGAATTCGCTCCCAAAGGAGAGCGGCGTGGCGAATTGCCCGTCCCGTGTGGCTGCCGGCCACCCTTGGTGTCCCCATGCCTGGGGACATCTGTGTCCTTCCCGCCTGCCACCCGGCCCCGGGTGCGGGCTTGGTGCCTGTGGTGCTTTGTTTACAGCGACAGCTCCGTAAACGGACGAAATGTTTCTCAGGATCGAGAATAATTAACTTTAACCTTTATATTAAAAGTTTTAAATATTGGATCTGGTGGCAGCTGGGGCGTGGGAGGTGGTCTGGCTTCTCGAGGGTGGGGGAGTTGGGACCCTCCTGCCTGGAACACGGGGATGGGATCAAAAAAGGGGACGAAAGGCAGGGGTGGCACATCTGCCCCTCTGCCTGCACATCTGGGTGCACATCTGGGCACACATCTGCCCACACTTCTGCACCTCTGCCCACCGCCGAGCCCTGGGGGTCTGGGGTCTGCCTCCCTCAACCCCCAGCGTCCTCCAGCTCCTCTCCCAGTGCGCCCCCCACCCAGCGCTGTCGCTGGGGCTGACAAAGTGTCCCCAAAGTGTCCCCAAGTGTCCCGTGACCAGCCCCGGGTGGGCTCGGGGACCCCCGCTCCCCCCACACCCGCCGCGCCGCTAGGAGGCGCTGCCGTGCGCCGCGCGCCGGCTGATGCAATCCTCGCGGGGCGTGGCCACATGGGAGAGTGGGCGTGGCATCGTCGACACCGCCCAATGGGAGGCGGTGACGCGAAGTAGGCGGGGCAGACGCTGACGCCCCGCCCCTCCCTCTGGGGGCGGGAAGCGCTGAGGCGGCGGCGCCGCCATTTTGTGCTGAAGCTGCCTCAGGATGGAGTCGAAACCCGAACCGGAGCTGCCCGCCGCCCCCCGAGCCTTCAGACTCACCGCCCCGCCACGGAGCGCCGCTCCACACACCCCTCCGCACCGCTGGCAGCGCTGAACGGCCTCATGGAGCACAGCGGACGCGAACGCGCCGGCCCCGGCTTGGGATGGGCCCGACTGGGCCTGGCCGCGGCCTGGCCGAAGCTGGCGGCGCCCAGCGCGGCGCCCGCCGGCGGCTCGTCCCAGGCGAGCCCGCCCTTCTCGTGGCTGCGCGTGGTGTCGCAGCTGCTGTCGCCGCTGCCCGCCCTCCTGCAGCGGCTGCTGCCCGGCGCCGCGCTCAGCTCCGCGCTGTGCCCCGCCAAGGCACCGCCGCCGCTGGTGCTGCTGCCCAAGGCGGACACCTCGCTGGACTGGACCGAGGAGGAGCCCCCGGAGAAGCGGCCGGAGGGCGGCCCGGAGCAGCCGGCGGGGCTGTGGGGAGCAGGGGTGGTGCGGAGCAGCCTGAGGGCTCTTCCCATGGATTGGTACGTGCTGGGCTTGGAGCAGGGCAAGAGCCACCTGCCGCAGCCCCTGCGAGCCGAGGGCTTGCCCGAGGTTGAATTCCTGCGCAGCAAGCGCCTGGCGTTCCTCCAGCGCTGGCATCTGCCCGTGCCCGACCCCGACCACGGCTACCACAGCCTGGAGGAGGAGCAGCAGCAGCAGCACAGGGGTGTCTGCCGGGAAATCGGGGAGCAGCGCGGCAATAGCGGGGATTTGGAGCCGCCCGAGGATGCGGGGAGACAGCCCGGAGGTGTCCCCGTGGAGCGGGAGCGGCTCCGGGGTGAGGCTGAGGAGGGAGAAGCCTTGGGTGAAGAGGAACGTGAGGACTCGGAAACGGAGCAAAACTTCCCAATTTCCTCCAGACCTGCCTGCGCGAATAAATTAATCGATTATATCATCGGGGGAGTATCCAGCGGGGAGGAGAGTGAGGGTGAGGAAGACTGGGATGATGATGATGATGGTGATGAAGATGATGGAGGCGGGTTTGACAGCGAAGAGCTGCCCTCGGACTCAGACGCCGGCAGCCAGGACGGGGAGAGGCTTCATCTGTGGAATTCCTTCTACAGCTTGGATCCCTACAACCCTCAGAACTTCACAGCCACCATCCAGACGTCTTCCAGCGAGCCGGGAAAGGGAATGTCGGACATGGAGGAGGAGGAGGAGGAGGAAGACTCGTGGGGAGAGTCCTCCGAGGGCTCTCCTAGTTCCGAGGAGGACGAGTGGGACTGTGAGAGCGTGGATGAGGCGGAAAACTTGAAACTTTGGAACTCGTTCTGTAGCTCGGACGATCCCTACAACCCTTTAAATTTCACGGCGGCCTTTCAGACGGCCGAGAAAAAAGGGACGCCGGGTTTCCAAGGGGCAGAGAGGGCGAGTTCTGTCACCTCGGAGCATTTCAGCTTGTGTAGGGTACAGCTGGAAAAACACAACTGCGGGAGCACTGAACCGGGGCAGAGCAGGGAGAAAACTGCGAGCTCCAAGCGGAAAAAGGTACAGATTTTATTAATATTTTTGTGTTTTGGGATTGGTAAAGGGAAAAAAAAAAAAAAAAGGCAACCACACTGCGCCAAGTGTGGGTGAGGTCAGCGTTCCATATGTGCTGATAATTCCTTGGAATGCTGCGCCTCATCCTCTGCACGTGATGGGAAATTCTGAGACTCATTCTGAGTCCCGCTGACAGCCGGGACGGAGAATTTTTTTCTCCAGACTCAAAGTTCGATTTCCGTTTTCAGTTGTAATTTTTCTTCTGTTTCTCTTGTGGTTTCGACGTCACAGAAACTCCAGGGCTGGGGTGGAAATTTTTGCCTGAGAATCTCCAGAGCTCTGAGGAGTTTCCCTGAAAAGCAGCAGTTTCTTTTAAAAGGAAGTTACTTAGGACCTGAAACCAAAAGATTTTTTTAGGATTTTTTTTTATAACCCAGGTGACCTTGTGAGTGTTCTGGAGTAAACTGAGATTCCCATATAAATTATCCCAATATTCCCCTTTCTGTTTAAGGTATTATTAAATATTATAATATTAAATTATATTATTTATTGGTTTTATATTTATATTGTAAGTATGAATAGTTATTTATGAGATAGTTATTTATAGTAGGGATGTAATCAAAAATTAGACTTCTGAGTCCAAACGAAATAATTTGATTTTTAAATTAACTTGGGCATTAATAATAATAATAACAGTAATAACAATAAAAACAACAACAATAATAATAATATCTGTGCTGGGATGCAGATAAACAGGAATTTATCCTAAATTTTGTGGTGCTGCAGATGTTCAAGGTGGATTCCTCAAACATCTGGATGAGGAATGACTTGAACACCAAATCCCTGGGCAACCCAGTGGTGGATCAAACCATGCAAACAGCAAATATTTACAATTCTTTCCCATTTTTCCAGCGGATACATTTATTTTCTCCCTTAATTCCGATTAGTAATTAATGGAGATCCCTGCCAGGGGTCAGGGCTGCGGTTCCAGCGGGAGTTCCTGGCTCAGGAGCTGCCGGGGCTGTGCTGAAAGGAGGGATGAGCTGGCTGCAATACCGCACATGATGTCAGAGCCCCGGGAATTGTGGCTCCGACTGATGTAAAAAAGCTGCAAGGTGGGGACGGGCTGATGTAACAGCTCCTAAAGCAGCTGCTGCAGAGGCCAGCCCCATTCCTGAGGATTCCCGGGAATTTTTGGGGTTATTCAGCCAGCTCAAGGCCGTTCCCCGCTGGAATCCTGCAGTGTTTTGCTCCTAAAGCCATAAAGTCTGAGAGTGTTGGTTCGCTTTGGGCTCAGCCGTGTCAGGCACGTGGCACCTGCTGGCTCTGCTCCCAGAGATTTTTGGGAGCAGGGAATTTCTGGATCCTCCTTTTAAAGTCACCTCTTCATCCTGTCCTTGGACAGAGCACCCCCTGGGATAGTGGGAAGTGTCCCAAACGCTTCTGGAATTCCAGATTTTCCTGTTTGGAAGCTCCCTGCAGCACAAACACCCTCCTCGCTGTGCTGAGAAATCCTAGGAAAAGAGCTGTGTTTTTTTTTTTAACATTTCCATGGTTTTTTCATGTTGCCAGGAATATTTTCCTGTAGCAGAGTTTGTTTTGAGGAATTAACCCTGATTTTAAAGGTGCTGACAGTTCAGTTTGTGCCTTTTTACAGCTGAATGCAAAATAAAGCCAAATAGTTCAGCAGGAGCCTAAAATAAGCTGGGTTTAACTCAGACTTAAATCCTTGCTAAAATCTTAGTCTAAACCCTGCCAAGTGCAGATCTCAAGCCTGTAAATTCCTTTATTTACTAAAAATAGCTGAATAGCTGCTAAAAGGAGTTAAAAGTGACAGTTTGGTTGTATATTTTTAATTAATTCTCTTACATGAACTGCACCCTGGAGTTCCAGGAGGGATTGTGACAGTTTAGTGTGTATATTTTTAATTTCATTACATGAACTCTGCTTCCTGGAATTCCAGGAAGGATTCTGACAGTTTAGTGTGTATATTTTTAATTAATTTCGTTATGTGAACTCCACCCCCCGGAAATCCAAGAGGGATTGTGACAGTTTTTGTGTGTATATTTTTAATTTCCTTACGTGAACTCCACGCCTGGAATTCCAGGAGGGATTGTGAGTTTTGTGTGTATATTTTGAACCCAGGACGGGCTGTTCTGGTCACGTTGCAATGAGTGTCCCTTGTTCCTTCCTTATCTGTCCCCGTGGTGACTCACGGGGCTCTTGACTCAACAAAACCTTTCTGCTTTTTTTTTTTTTGGGGTTGTTACCTAATCCTCGGCAATCCCCCAGTGCCAGCAGCAGGGACCCCCCAGTGCCAGCAGCAGGAGCCCCCCAGTGCCAGCAGCAGGGACCCCACAATCCCAGCAGCAGGAACCCCCCAGTGCCAGCAGCAGGAACCCCACAATCCCAGCAGCAAGAACCCCCCAGTGCCAGCAGCAGGAACCCCACAATCCCAGCAGGCATTCACAGTCCTAGCAGCAGTCCCACACATATTTTAATAATATTCTATTTCTTTTTATAATACTTTAAATCCATATTTTTAATCCGTTTTTATCCACATTTTATTTCTTTTTATCTAATTTTTGTCCATTTTTTATCCGCTCTCCAGCCTGACCTTGGACCCTTGCAGGGATGGAGCAGCCAGAGCGCCTCTGGCAATTCCATCTCTCCAATGCCTTTCAGAAAAAGTTCCCAACCCTTTCACCTCTCAACAGCTTAAAACCCAAACCCACCACTTTAAACCTCCGTTTGCAGAGAATTCCTGACTGAAAGCCTTCTTCTCCCAGGTGACATTCACGAGGAGGTGACAGAGTGTTACATAAGCGGCGAGGAGGACTGGAAAGGGCCTCATATTCTATTTATTTTTGTGATATTTGAAATCCATCT